GTAGAGAAGGTTGGCAGACTGATACAGGGCTGTAGGGCTGGGCTGCACAAATAAGTCAGATGGCACGAGTAAGAGGAGGAACTTGTGCAATGATTTTTATATTCTGGAATGTAGGAAAGGAGAATCCACCACAATCTTGATATCAAGGATGTTTCTTCCTTGACCACAAAAGGACTATGACATTCAAACCAAAAAGAAATTAAAATATAATCTAGTATAACACATGGCTCTGCAGTACATATCTGCAAAATGTATAATAACAAAACTACTAAACAACTTGTAAAAGTTATTACTAAAATTTCCTACTTGCTCTTTCTTTCAATGCACATCCTTAAAAAGGCTCTCATTTCTTGTTCTTTTTTTCCTTTCTTGTTCTTGTATAGTACTGGGAATTGAACCCAGGGGTGGTCTATCCCCAGGGCTATGCCCCCACCACTTTTTTTTTTTTTTAATTTTGAAACAGGGTCTCATTAAATTGCATAAGATGACCAGGAATTTAAGATCCTCCTTGCCTCAGTCTTCTGAGTAGCTAGGGTTATAGGCAAGCACCACCAAGCCTGGCTAACTCTCCATTTTCTTCCTCACCAATAACCAACATTTACCCTGCTCATCACCTCTGCACCAGAGTGACAAAGGAAGACACCTCTCTCTGAGCCAGCTGTTCAGAAGACTTCACTCACTACCCATCTTATCAACATTGAAGACATGAAGTAAGAATGCCACTTAACAACTAATTCAGAAACCCCTCTGCTCCTCTATATACATCAGACACATGTCTACTGCTCTAAGATGGGGAGTGGGTAGCATGTGGAAGGAAGACAGAGGGTTCTGCTCTGGTGGAGACTCTGTCTGCATTATGAACCAGTGTAGACAGGCAAAAATCACTTAGGGACTGCTTCTTTATAATTTCATAAAATATTTTTAAATCATTAATGGAAATGAGAATTTCTATTCCCTCAAATAATTCTTTAAAAATAAATGATAGGGGCTGGGGTTGTGGTTCAGAGGCAGAGCACTTGCCTAGCACACGTAAGGCACTGAGTTCGATCCTCAGTACCACATAAAAATGAAATAAAGATATTGTGTCCACCTACAACTAAAAAATAAATATTAAAAAATAAAATAAAATAATAAAAATCAATTACAACCTAAATTCATTAGTTGCTGGGGTTAGGAATACAGTAAGTGGTAGACAGCTTGTCTAGACATGTGAGGCCCTGAGTTTCATCCCAGAACCCTCCAAAAGGAAAAAAAAATCCATTAGTTTCTATAATAGCCACTTTAAAAAAATTCAATTCAGTGGGGTGCATTGGGATATAAATATAATTCCAGTGGCTTGGGAGGCTGAGGCAGAAGAATTGCAAGTTTAAAGCCAGCCTCAGCAAATTAGTGAGATCCTAAGCAACTCAGTGAGTAACCCTATCTTGAAATAAAATACAAAAGGGTTGGGGTTGTAGCTCAGTGGTAGAGCACTTGCCTAGCATGTGTGAGGCCCTGGGTTCGATCCTCAGCACCACATAAAAATAAATAAACAAAATAAAGGCATTGTGTCGATTTATAGCTAAAAATATTTTAAAAAAAGAAATAAAATACAAAAAAGGGCTGGGATGTGGCTTGGTAGTTGAGTGCCCATGGGTCAATCCCCAGTACCAAAAAAAAAAAAAAAACAGTTCACCATGACTTACCCCATTTTCAGTGCGTTTTTCTCCAGGTACATTTATTACATTTCTCTGAGTTCTTTGCTCTTGGGTCTGACGGCTACCTAAAAGAAATGAAAGAACCAGATTTACTAACATGCATATAAGGAAAAAAACCAATATTCTCCCATTTCTCTATTTAAATACTTATTGACCACAAATCTAAAATGCCAAGTTGAGAAAGTCAAGACTTAGTTCAGTTGAGCCAGGCACAGTGGTGCATGCCTGTAATCCAGGCCACTCTGGAGGCTGAGGCAGGAGAATCGCAAATTCAAAGCCTATCTCAGCAACTTAAGGAGCCCCTATCTCAAAATAAAAATAAATAAACAAAAAGCACTAGTGATATAGCTCAGTGGTAAAACAATCTGGGTTCAATGCCCAGTACCCATCCCCAAAAAAAGCACAGCTAAAAACTGTTCCACATTCATCTTTCATAAAATTGTTTAGCTAGGTACAATGGTGCATGCCTATAATCTTGGCAACTCCGGAGGCCAAGGCAGGAGAATCTTGAGTTCAAGGTAAGCCTCAGCAACTTATTGAGACCCTAATAAACAACTCAGTAAAACCTTGTCTCAAAATAAAAAATAAAAAGGGCTAAGGATGTGGCTCAGTGGTTAAGTCCTCAGTACCAAACAAAAACAACAATAACAACAACAAAAAACCAACATAAAATTGTTAAATGGAATCCTTTCTTTTTACATTTTATCTCAATCTTGAAACTGACTTGTCAAAAGGTTTCTAACACTTAAAATGGCAAAGATGGTAAATTTGGGGTTAAGTATATTTTACCACAGTATAAAATAAATTTTCAAAAAAGGCTTTTATATTTCAGAAGACACTAAAACAGAATTTATTATCCACTAATGAAAAAATGGATGTAAAAAAACTCACCTACACTTATTGGGTTAAAACTGAGATGGTATACCCTCGCCAATCTGACAATGTCATGAATCTCCCTTTGTTCTGTAAAAATTAAATTTTTTGTTTAAAAAAAGTCATCAATTTAAACTGGAAAAATTCCCTATTTGTTCTGGCACCTTCTTGAAAAAGGTAAAGCATAGTGAGGATGCAGCAGTATGTGGCTCTGTAGAGCAGGTCCTGGGTCTCTGAGGTGCTGCAGGGCTGCTCCTGCCTGACCACCTGGTTTGCAGTTGGTGCCATAAAGAAGAGACAAGCCCAGAGCTATTTTAATACCCAAGAACACATGACCTAAGGGTCATGCCTAATGTTTAAAAATGTTTTCCTTTTATTCCTTGCCTACTTTGAAAAGTGTAAACAAAATTCACATTTTGGATGTATGGTTTCATTAAACCATGTATTCTCAAAATGGTGATGACAGTGCCCCACAGGGCAGAAGCTGGTGCTTAAGGGGTTAAGAAAAAACCTCACTCTTTATGTACAAAGTAAAGATATATAGTACATAAATGTATAAACAGTATAGCTAATGGAGGGAGAAGGAAGGACAAGTAAGAACCCAACATCCACATATCTAATCATAGAAATGTTCACATGTGGAGAGTCACACAGGAGAACTGGAATCTTATGGATTCCAAATATTAGAGGATTCCTTATGTTTATCAGATGTTTTTATTTTAAATGACTCCTTAATTTCGTATCTCTGAACAAATTATAAAAATGATTAAAAAAAGAATATAATATCCAAAAAATCTTCCTTGGGGGACAATAATGATAAGCGATTACAAAAGCTACGGTGTTTATCAGTTTACACTTTAAATTTTTATTTTTCTTAGTATTTTTAAGGAACAAGAAATTCAGGGTAATTTAATACTATTCCTCTTCCAAAGAGTAAACTAACAAGAAATTAGAACACTATAAATATACAGCATTAAACTATACCAAGTGCCTCTTAATCTTTGATGGTAAAGCAGAAACTTAATATAATCTTACATTTCAGAGTCAGAAAATAATAACAAGCTGACATTTAGTGAGTGCTTCACCATGCTCCCAGCCCTCTATGCACTCACAGTACCTCTCTTAACCTGTGCACTCTACAGATGAGGAAACTGAGGCACAGGGGTGAGAAATCATCTGTCAAGGTCCCACCAGGAGGCCCAGGCGGAAACCCACGTGCTCTCGATCCTACCTCCATCACACACCTCCTGGCTCTGGTTGGCTAGACAGGTGGCCCTCACTTCACCGCTCTGTGCTTCTGCTTCCCAAGTGTAAAGGGGACTTGAAGTAAAGTCCTCTACATTCTTCTCTGACTTCTAAACAGAGAGTCCCCAACCTTCAAGTTAAGAGTTGTCTCTTACTTCTTTTGATTCCTATAGTTCTATGCAACATTCACTTGAGATTTTTCTTAATTGACACCAATCAGAGACAACTGCCTTGCCCTCAGCAGGAAGCACAAGTCTTGAGTCCCACATGTGGTTTTAGAACATAAGCTGGGGAGACAAGTCATGAGCACAGCAGAGTGGGCCAGGGCAGAGGCAACATGGTGTGTGAGCTATTCTCCCTGCCAGATGCTCCTCAGCTGAGGGGTGGAACACATCTTGGCACCGGCACAGGAATAAGGCCTAGGGTGGAGCCTGGCAGGGTCAGGTGGTCGGGACTCTGCGTCAGGGTACACAAGACAATGAATGAGCAAGACAGCCTGACTGGAGGAGAGAAAGGGACAGCGAGGGTGGGTATCTGGGTAGGTAACATTAGAAATGCTAGTGAAGCCGATTTGAAGGGCACTGACAAAGGGACAGGCACTCTACTGAATGATCCAGGTAGTGCAGTGTGAAGGATAAGTACTGAATTCAGTTTTTCCAGTGCTGACCAAACTCCTGATCTAGCCTGGATGGAGAAGGGGTGCTCCCCACCACCCAAGCTTGCTTGGCCCCTCAGGGGCCCTCCACATAATCCCTGCCTGGCATGCAATAGCCTTTGCTCTGCCCTCATGCCCCATTCTTCCTCAAGGCCCACATCCTTCTCAATGCTCTGTCTGACTCGATGGCACACGGATCTCAGCACCTCGGGGCCCAGTCCCCGCACATATAGGTATGTGCGCATACCTATAATCAAATTAAGTTGTCTAGCAGCAGTTTGAAGATCTTTTTGAGTCTCAAGATTTATCATGACCTGAACTTGAGATGGTGACAAAATACATTGGGTAGGGCCCTTCTCTAGAGTGTACTATCATCTCCACACCTAGACTGAGCAGCAGAGGGAGTGAAAAAATAACCCTTTTCTGGGGCACTAAGGTTTACATACAGAAATTACACATCAATAAAAGTGAGAAATAAAACTTTTTATTTAAGTATAGCTAAGGAAGGGAGGGTACAGGCTTTTGCGAAAATGGCGATGTTATGTGTGTCCGGCATTGCTAGAAGAGGCTTGACGTGGATAGCCTTAGGGACGACGCGCAGAGAATTTTGGTCTCGACCCAGAGCGAGTGCCGGGCACTGAGTGTGGTGTCAGAAAACTAATGGCTCATTTGGAATATCTACTTCCACACGAATGTGAAAGTCGAAAAGAAAAAGAACCAGTGGAGACTGTGACGATAGAAGAAGTAAAAAAAGAGCCTATTCTGGTGTGTCCTCCCTTACGAAGCCGAACATACATACCTCCTGAAGAACTTCAGAGTCGTTTGGAATCTCATATGAAAGAAGTTTTTGGTTCATCCCTTCCTAGTAATTGGCAGGATATCTCCCTGGAAGATTGTCATATGAAGTTTAATCTCTTGGCACATTTGGCTGATGACTTGGGCCATGCAGTGCCTAACTCCACGCTTTACCAGATGTGCAGGGTCAGAGATGTTCTTGACTTCTATAATGTCCCTGTTCAAGATCGATCTAAATTTGATGAACTTAATGCCAATGATTTGCCTCCCAATTTGAAAATCACTTGGAGTTACTGAGCAGTTCAGAAGATAAACACATGGA